AAAGTTTTTCCTTTTAGTTTAATTTTTAAAAACTTTTTTGTTCATATTTTTGTTATTTAATTAGTTTTCCTTTTTTTACTTTTATTTTCTTTTATTTATTAGATTTTGTTTTAAAAATTAAAATATTATTATTTTTTTTTTAATTCTAAAGTACAGTAAAGAGCTTTCAAGATAGTTGCCAGAATTGACAATTTTCTTACGAAAGACAGTTTCTAGACAATGCAATTTGCGAAGAAAATTTTTACAACGGATGTCTGACGGAAGTACGTTACATTAACACCTGAGTAGAATCTGAAATTAATTAATTTGTTTTATCTTATCTTATCTCATTTTATTTGAATTTTATTATACTGTCTCTTTTTTTTTGAAAACTATAAACCATGAAGTTATAGGGAACAACCGTATGTACCTCTAATCACTTGTGTAAATAAATAATAGTGATTTATAAGGCAACGACGACAAAAAGTCTACCAACAACTAGTAGCTTATATCTAATTAAAAACAAAACAAAAGTGCAATATAGCCTATTTGCTCAAAAGCTTCGCTCATCTCTTTTACAAACAAAAAACCTTATAAATATTTGTGAACATCCAAAACAAAACTACATACATACATACATACAATTTCATAAATATGTAAATCACAAAAAAAAAATTGCGCACTTACAATTCGCTCACACGATCACCCTGTGCCGCTGCAGCAGCCGCCGCCGCAGCAGCAACTTGACGCAGCAGCGCAGCCGTTGTACAGGTTCCATTAGTGGGTGGCGCTGCCGATGTTGCTGCTTCGGCTACGGTCACTGCCGTTGTTCGCGCAGCCGTTGCTGACTGAGGCGCAGTTGTTGTTGCCATTGCTGGCAGCGATATAATTGCTTTTGCCGCTCTTGCTGCTGTCGCCGTTGCCACGGGTTCTACTGGCGCATTGTTGTTATTGGGCTCACAATGAAAGCCACGATCCTCCCGCACCATATAAGCGGGCAGCGTTTCAATAATTGCATTCGCCTTGCCGTTGTATGAACCCAAAAGTTCGCGATATTTTGAGTAGACAATGCGTTTGAGTTGGGGATTTGTTGAACCATTTGCAGTCACAGCAGAGGTTGGCGAAGTAGCGGATGCTGTTGGTGGTGGTCGTGGTGCAGCATGTTGCATTGTGGTGGCCATTTTCACTTAGTGATGGCGCGCGCGCGCTCGTTAACTTTGAATTAAAAATGCAAATGGAACTCTTTTGGAGGCGATGCAACAAGCAATGCAACAGTCGGCGGCTGCAGAATTTAATCACTCGTTTGTTTCACACAATTTCACTGATTAGAAAAAAAATAAAAATCACTTCAATGTGATTTTCTATTTCACAAAGCGTGCACTTTTAAGATCACTGTAGATCACTTTTTTCCACCACACAATTAAGTGTTGTTTCTATTACTTTTTCTTACTATGTGTGTACTTTTTTAGTTATGTACTTGTTTGTAAGCAGCTCAGCTTGTTGCTGTTTCAGTCGCCTCGCTTATTCAACTTATTAGACTTGTTTCAATTGATTTTATTACATACTTTGTAATAATCGCTTAATGAAGTCGCTCATCTACTGCCATTCACTGCCATAATTGATATGCCTATAAATTTTATTATCAGTCACCTGCGCATTTTAAACATTTCTATAAAATGTGCTCAATTAAAAAGTTGAAGTGTGGGTGCCGCCGGAATTCCTTTATTGCAACAGTATCGCATTACTGCGGCTTCGCATCACAAAGCGTTTATAAATTTACTAAAAAAAAAACACCTACTGGAATGTACTACTTATACATTAGACCGCCTCAGGCGATATAAAATCATCACTAATAAAATTAATTATTTTTTATGGTGACCACTAAAATATTTTAGATGGGCCATTCGTAGGCTGAACTGTGTTGAATATGCATTTCTCCAAAAATTTATTGGTTTTGTTTGAAATTTTGTAAAACTTTTTTAAGTAAATTTGTTGCATTACAATACCCAAAAAGCTGAAGTCTGGCATATTTAAGCTGATCAGCCTTTTATTGTATGTAGTTCGGGGAAATTTTTTAAGCCTTGCTTCATAGAAGTTGGAATAGTTTAATAATTTCGTTAGCGATTGTTTTTAATACCTAAAAGTGGTATGTACATGTTTTCATACTTTTTTTTTTATATATTCGCCGATTTACATTTAATAGAAAATTCTAAAATATTTATTCTTTCATACTAAATTTTTAAAAATTATAATTTTTTTTTAATTTTTAAATTTCTTATTTTAAACTTTTTTTTCGAACAATATGTCGACCTCTTTGCTCGAAATTATCGTATATGCCATTTTTCGAAATTGACTTTTTGATGCAAATTGGTTCTACAACTCAAAACGCATCACCTGGTAAAATATTGTGGATGCAGTCCCTATAGTTACTATTATCTATATTTTATCTTATGTTAAAATGTATTTTGTTCTTGTAGGCGAAATCACCGTACGTGCCATACAAAAGTATTTTGTAAAAAAAAATAAAAAAATTAAAAAAAATTGAAAATTAGAAAAATCGATCTATTGTAAAATTTGGTTCATGGTTTAATTTTTTTTTTAGATTAAAAATAAAAATTGCGCAAAATTTTTATTTTTCAACTTTTATTTTCATAATATAGAAAATGGCACATCCATTAAAGTTTTCACTAAAATTGCATAAAAATATTCTTACAATAGCTCTAAACGTCCCTTTAATTTAAATATCGATATACTGATTCTAATTATTTGAGTATTTACTACAAAAAAAAAGTGTCCTATTATAATCTTAGTAATATGAAAAACATATTATAGATATTACCTTGCATTTAGCCGAAATATTTAGACGTAAGTCACAGACCAAACTTTAAAAAGAAAGCATATTTTTTGTGACTCGTCCTAATGCACAAATAAATTCTACCATATTTATTAACCAATCGCAGCAATTAATGGTACGAGTTTATAAAAATTGCGTTTTACTGTTTGAGTAGACCTATTAACGAATTTACGTATAGCTGCTGTTTTCATTTAGTATGCTTTAATTTTTTACTTAATGAATATAAAAAAGTTAATTGAGAAGTAAATCGTTTCAAATATATGTAGTAGGCTGCACATTTATATAAGGCTATTGCGAGGTGTTTTTATTGTGTCATGTTTTCATAATGACCAGAAATTATTGTTATATCGGCGGTTGAGTGGAAACTGCTATCTTGAAAACACCCTAGCTCAGCAAACCGTAGAAAAACGCCCTATTTCAGAATTTAGTTATCTTAGCAAATGTTCAAAACCGCCTTCTTTTTTTTTAACGCAATTCTGAAATAGGGCGTTCTTCCGCCATTTGCTGAGTTATTTGCCCACCTAAGAATTGGTAAATAATTGTTTACTTTCCCTCCCCATTCCTACTCAGTTGCTTTCAAATCGCCTTTTATATTTCTTAAAAAATTTTTTTTTGCTTAAAATTGTAGTTCCCTTATCCTCCCAGGTCGTTGTGCCTAAGGTACTGAGTGGAGAACCCTTCACATACCAGCATAGTACTGACGAAGGTTATGACAAGCAAGTCCGGAGACTAACACGATCAACTCGTAAGTCTCTGAAAGACTGTCGGATATCAGGCAAAGCCCTTCACTACTATGGATAATGGTGCGAACGCCCTTACGTAGTTAATCTAGTGAAATCAAGATTTTGTTTATCTCGACCAATGAAGGATTATGTACCTTCAAGGAGTCTATATCTTTTGTGGGTAAGTTCTATTTCTTTGGTTCCCTAACAGCCAATGGCCGATGGTAGTGGCTAACTAACTGCTGTTCTTTTTGTTATATAGGCTTTGGCTCCTTTTTTTTTGCCCTCAAATGGCAGCTGACGTGCGAGCACTATTACAAAAAACTGAATTAGCTACTCCATTGATCAGGCATCGATCCTGAATCCCCATATACATCGGCCGTTTTCTTGTAATAAATTTATTTAAACACTGACTTATGCCCTTGCGGTGATCGTTGATTGCAAAATTAAGTAACTTCCTCTCCTCCTTGCTGCATTAAAAACTTCAATTGTAAAGTTGTTAATCGACTTTAACGGAACATGTCTGCTTTAAAAGGATACGCATGTTTCTAAAGATTACAAAAGCCATTATATCACCGCCAAAGCTGAAAAGATCACCTCACACATCAGGATGAGTGAAGATTTTTATGGATCATAAAATTGCCTGCTATCAATAAATAAAACTTAACGTTGAACCATATATTTACTCCAGTGAACATACATATGTACAACAGGATTTTGAATAGTTTTCAACGATTGACACAGAATTCGCAGAAAATCCATAACAAATGGCATTCAGAGTGACCAAAGTCTAACAAATGGCAAACACCAAACAAACCAGCAAAACTTAAATCAGGTCATAACAAGAGCACAAAATTTGCACTCAAAGCGAGGTCACGTCGCCGCTACGTTACTTAACCACATACAATTCAATCGCAGGGCATGTGACGTAATAAGCTTATAAGAAATTAAATGCGATTGAATGATCAAAGAGGATACGCTGATATGATCATTAAAGCTCATTAATGATGATTAGCAGTTTATATACTATGTGTGCGTTCGTTCCACTGATCACTGAGTATTACCTATAAAATTTCGTAAATCTTTTTCTCCTTGCCAATTTGCGGTTATTCATTTATTCGGTTTGCGAGAGGCCAAAAATAGTGCGAAATTGATCAGCATGATCATTGATCGTGTGCGATCTACTTGAACTGTCGCATATCAAAATGTGAGGGCAAATATACCCGCATTGAACTCATTCAATTCAATTAAGCTATGGGAGGCTGTTGATTTTTAGGGAAATATTGCTGAGTCATAGCATTTCATTTGGAGCATGGCTTCAGAGTTCATTGCGACATACACGATCAGCAGCTGAGCCACAGCACCACAAACACTTACAAGCCCATTGATTTTTTGATAGCAAGAAGTGTGTGTATATGTTTTTTATTTTCGGTAAAAAAGTAGAGGAAGAATTATTCATGATCACATCACGTCATAGTGTCATGCTTCCTTGCGTGAGTAAAAAAATGCGTTCAATACTCGTTCGTGAAAACTTCTAATGAATTAGAAAATACGATAAACCTTTTCGAGCGTGAGATGGGACCTTTTAGTGCGATCAATCGCCTTTATTTTATTTTCTATTCTTTTACAATGCCTCCTACCTACCAATGCATGAGTGGTCTGATCTGTGCGATATGACTGGCTGGCTGGCATTTAGTGGTTGCCTTAGGGCTAATAGGGCATTGTTTTTCTTTTTCCTTCGCTCATCGACAGGTATGTGTATATGTATGTTTATAGATACATACATATGTATGTCGATATATAAGTGTAGGTGGTGCCTGTGTTTCTGGCACAAGGTAAGTGCGGTTGGCAGACACTGATACCCCCGCACAAGCACACACCTTGCACACAAAACGAAAGGCCAAACGCGGACGTTGGAGTAGGGAGCGTGCGACCAAGAAGGCTGCTTGTATGATAGCTCATTCTTAAATATAACCAAGAATTTCCTTGGCCACACACGCACACACGTACTGGTGTTTTTATACCACGCACATGTGTATTAGGGTGGTCAAAAAAAAATAAGTAACGTTGAAATTTTAATGCCGCCACTACCTAGGGTTGTTCTATACCGAAAAATATACCCCCATTTTTTATTTTGAAGTCAAAAAATATTTAGAGCGCTCAAAGTTTTCCATGAATTCTATATGAGAAAAATCAAATTTTCGTAAAAATGGTATATAATTCTTGCAAATCAATATTTTTCGATCGGAAAAATCTGGGTTTCTTCAGGAGACTCCAATAATAACGTCTAATTGTTTGTTTGATAATTTTTTGATATGGTCCCCCCTTTGCATTTTCTACGAAAGTTGTTTTTTTTTTAATGAATTTTTTATGTGCATTGAGAGAGAGCGCTCAAAGTCTCTCTCAAAATATTTTTTGATTTCAAAATAAAAAAATGGGGATTTATTTTTTTTTTTTTGGTATAGAACAATCTTAGGGGGTGGCGGAATTAAAAATTCCGACTTTACATTTATTTGGTACCACTCTAATGTGTACATGTACATATGTACATATTTACACATGTGCGCCAGTCAATCGCCAGCACATATGTATGTACATACATATCTACAAGTATGCCAGTGCCAAGATGATTCATCGCGTTCAACCATATCAACAACACTTCCTCCTGTTTGGCCCTCCTTTGTCCGGGCACTCGCTCACGGATTTACTCATCCATTAGGCTTCCTCACCTCGTATTATCGCCTTTTGTTCAGTCACGGCGTTGGTGGTGGCGCAGTTCAAGCATAAATACTCATTCATGCACACGTATAAATATGTACATATGTATGTATGTGTGTAGGTGCATACGAGCATTTGTGGAGCCCCCAGTCCACGTTCAGAATGGCCCGCTACAAGTTATTCGAGTAATGTTAATAAATAAAATTAATTTGTATGAAAAACTGCAGCGTAGCGCTCAGAGCTAACGAAACAAAAAAAAATAAAAAATAAATAAAAAGCCTAAACGATTAATAGGATTTTAGTACGCGGGAAACTGCAGAAAGTTGTTGTTGTAAGAGAAGAAAATTTGTTATTTGCCACATGTACTCGCATATCTAAATATTTATGCATACATACATATTTACACACACCTTTATTAAATTTTATGCATGCATTTATTTAAATATTTTATGTGGAACATTTGCGTTCTCACGCAGCTAACCGCATTTCTTGATTTATAGTCATGAGTTTAAGCGCGTAAAGAAAAATCAAAAGGAATTTTTCTCGCTAAAAAAATAAACAAAAAACTATTGTGCGTGCGCTGGCAGTTAGTTCTTTGAATATTTTTCGCTGAATGAGTAAGTGCTGAAAGATAAGCAAGCAAGTGTTTTTAGACGCATATAAAAATTATAAAATTTCATAAAATTCCTAAGTGGCTTTGTAGCTGTGGGAAGCAATCATGGATCTGCATTGATTTTTAATTTTCGTTGTAATTTCTTTATGCTATTTTTTTTTTGTGTAAAAATCGATTGTGGACAAACTAGGCTGATCTAATATTTAGGTCCCGCTAGTGCCAATCCGAAAATAGGCTCAATAATTGGTACCCACAACTTTCCGCTGTATAAGCTTCCCCATCCCATCAAGGCTCAGTAAATATTAAATTTATGCGAAACGTCAAAGGCATAAATTTCAACAAAAAAAAAAAATAAAATCTATAAGCCGACTTGCCAACGTTTACCCAAATTCCATTATTCGTAAGAGGTTTCAAACCTGCTCAGTGTGTAGTACGAGATCTTTCCTGCTCACAACCACTGCGGTCTGCAATCTGCACTCTCTCTCATCCTCTAGGAGAGCATCCCGCTTTCAGTTACCCATGCCCTAGCATACGCCTAGCACTCGTGAGCTGACCTAAGGCCCATCTGTTCAAGAGAAGTGCAATATAGTTGTTCCATCCGTTGCGTGCTCGCTAAGATGAGCGTTTAAGAACGCCATTTCTTGAGTGCTGCTCAGCCACACAGTTTCCGGCAATATCACTGTGGCCTTTTACCCACATGTGTCTAGCTAGAAAATATTCTGACATTACCAAAAAGAGATCAGCTATTAGCAGCAGACTAATTTTGTACACAAGTTAAATGTGCCTATTGCTCCGATTACTTCTTGACTAGCGGAGTTTATCTCCCTTATCAAGATCACAGAATTGAGGCAACAATCGACGTTCCAGAAGAGAGTAGATTTCAAGAGGTACTGATCTAATTTGAGACCCAATGCACCTTAGTTAGACCGAAACTTGCGTTCCAGCCAATTTACCTGCAATATCAACAGGTTTTAAAAGGTATAGTGGAATCGGTTCAAAGTCACCCGCTGGTTCCAGTAACTGCCCAAATAATGTAGTTCTGTAGGGAGATTCACCATACAAGGTTTCCATAGGCTAAAGTGACCTCGTGACGAGCATTTCTCAATTTATAAAACAAATTTCTTCTGTTTTTTTTCTTTTAGATATAATTTTAAAGAAATAGAAAATGGCTGAGAAAAAGCATATATTTTTTAAATCAATTTATTTAAAATGCAGTTTGTAAATTTTGGAATTCCTTTTTTATATCGCCACCGGGTGTTTTGGTTTTTCACAGAAAAATTTTTTATCAAAAACATTGCAATTTTTTCTCTTTTTTTATAAAAAAGTGTATGGCATAATTTTAATTTTAATTAGTAATAATTTACTGCCTTCAAGAAACCTTCTTATAAAACCATTTGCCGTTCGGAAGCGTCGTTAAATTATAGTTCGCTCCATTTGTTTTACAACATCAGGATGCACACCCCAAATCGGAGGAGAAATTCGGCCTAACACTTAGTAAAAGGGTAAGCACCGAAATACTATTATTATTAATAATTTAATGTACCTTTTATTACGAATTTTAAAATAAAATAGTAAAAAACGTTTCCAAAAAAAAGGTCACATTTGGTTCTTAAAAATTTCAAAATACACAGCCAATAAAAAGTTAGCTTAGGAATAAACTGTAGCTCATTTCATTCACAGAAAAGTCGCAGAAATTTGAAATACCAGCGGAACAATGAAAATTGCACTTACAGTCAACGTTAAAAATATGAATATCCTGACGTTTTGACGATTTAATTTATTTACATTCTCAATACCAAATTTTTCTTATTTCTTTGTCAAAATATAATTCGTACAACAGCGAAAACCAGCAGAAGCAATTTTATTAATTTCATAAAGAACTCGGGAAAATTCAAGAAATACCCAAAAAAATTCATCAAAATGTTCAACATTTGAATTAAATTTCTTAGAAAAATTTTGAGTATGCAGTTTTGTAGGCCATTCAATTTTAGTATGATGAGGTGAAGGTTTAAAGTCTCTGAAAAATACCGTTGATTTGTGGATATTTTTTTTTTGTCAAGCATGTTGCGCATTTACTTCCACATATCAAATAAATAAAATTTATTTTTATTAAAATTTAATGCGCTACAAAACTGCATACTCAAAACTTTTCTTAGAAATCAAATTGAAAAGTTGAAAATTTAGGTGATTTTTTTTTTTTGTAATTCTTGATTTTTCCCGAGTTCTATGTGAAATTAATAAAAATTGTGTTCCGCTGTTTTCTGCTGTTGAATTAAGTATATTTTTATTAAAAATAAGAAAAATTTGGTATGGAAAATATAAATGAATAAAATCGTCAAAACGTCAGGGTATTCATATTTTTTATGCAGACTGTATATGCTATTTTCATTATTTTGCCGATACTTCAAATTTCTGCAATACGCCCTCGATAGGCAGAGTATCCTCACTGACATTTCAAAAGAAAATATATATATAAAAAATTGGCTTAAAATGCATTGCTAGAATCGAAACGGTAATAATAGGCCCGAGGCACGCCCTTTTAGTGTTCTTTTAGTGTAACAAGTCGCCTCACATAGGTGCAATGAACTTTTCAATAAAATACACCGTATTTATTATCTATATCCTTCTTTCCCATATTACTACACACACTTTTTTTTTTTGTAGATAGGCCCCTCTGGTTTTCATGGCCTCATATGTATTATGATAAGAATTCACAGTATAATTTTTAGGCGAAATTGAATTAAACGATTTTTTCCGTTAAATACGCAAGAGTTTATTTCTCATAAATTTTATCACCTAGCAGCACCCATACACAAAAATTTTATCAGTCTCCAGAAAAGCAATTCATCTTGCGCAATGTTAGCAGATTTTTTTACAACAAGAAAACTAAATAAACAAAACACACCGTTAAGTAATCCACAATTAAACAATTTTGCACATTAATGTGTCTTGAAACAGCAAGAAAAAAAAAATAGCACCAATTTTTTTAAACGACGTTGACACTTGAATTACGCGGTCTTGCGCGCACAACCGACAAACATTGTCAGCTGTCAAATAAGCGAGTTGAAATGAACTGAACTAAGCGATACAACGCAGCGTGAAATAAAGAAATACGAGTATGAAAAAACAGTTGCGGTTGAATCCAAGAGGCGAACTGCACGCCGCGATGTTTGGACGCGCAATGAGCCGAGTCGGCTGTTAAGCACAGCGTCCAAGCGGCGTCACTGGTCTACACCAGCAGCAGCACCACCACCACCTCAACTGGAGGGAAATGTCGTTGTGACGTTTCAGCAATAATACCCAACAAACACTGGAACAAAAAACTTTCAAACGCTTGAGAAAATCTGATTTCTCAATTTAATATTTTGGCATTGCAAAACATTTTCTCAAATTTTTCTCAAATATTGTTTATCGACTTAAGAATGGTTTGAGCAACATTTGGGAATTTTTTTAGCACTTCGTTGTGTTTCATCTGTGTCGACAATGCAAAGATGTCGAAGTCTCCTCGACCACGCGGGCGCTTTTATTCGCAATTTGCCTGTCGGAAAATCGCTCCTTCTTCGAGTGACTTGGAATGCATTTAATTTATTGATATGAGTGAAAATTTGTTAATAATATTATTTTGTTATTGATCGTTTTATGACTGATCTGCCATTAGTCATTAAAACTTAAAACCGAAAGAAATAAATAGTTTGCTGCATCGATAGTGAACAATAATTTTCCTGCTTAAAATGACATAATATTTTTATGTAAAAAAAAACTTGTTTATGTGAATGTATGATAAAAGGGCTTATGCTCTTTTGAAAATGCAACAAATCCATAAAAAAAAACATTTTTCTATAAAAACTGAGTGTTTGTTTTACGTGCATTCATTACATTGATTTGATTCCGTTCCGCTCCTCTCACGTTTAAGAAAAAGTTGAGAACTCAATATTTCGCCATTTGAAAATAAAGAAAAATTCCATATTGAAAATGTGCCTTTTAGTTTGAGAACGCTATCAACGGTTATTTGAGATGCATTTGAGAAGTAGCGCTTGGGATTTGAGACAAGAACTGCATCTCAATAAAACAATCAACAAAAAATGCTTATTGGGTAACGACAACAAACAAAGACTGTAAATGTGAGCCACAACAACCTGAAGCTGACAAGCCAACCGTTGCTGTGTGGAAGAAAACCACTGACTCAAGCTGGGTTGACTTTTTATTATTATTGTTGTTGTTGTCGTCTTATACACTATACCTACGGTGACCATAAATATGGATTCAAAATGAAGGACAATTTTTCAAAAATATGCCTACATATATTTACGTAGTATAAAAATATCAAAAGAGTATTTATGATTCTAAATTCTTATTACATTTTAAACTTTAAAAATGAATAACGTTTTCTTCATCGATATTAATCTTTTTTTACGTGAATATTTATAAAAGTATAGTAAAACATATTATAATTGCAATAGCGAAAAGTGAAAATCTTTAAAAGATTATTTTATAGGCAAATTTTGAGTCGTTCAAAACGAAAACAATACACTTCTTTTTTTGTTTTTTGGTACTTTTCGCAGTTATATGTCAAAAATCGACGTCATGAATCGACGTAAACGACGAGTTACAAAGTGCCCTTTACAAAAATACTCAATTTGTGCAGACTGTAATGATATATCTTCTTTATCGAATTTTAAAATAATGAAAAAAATAATCAAATGAAACTGCGTATTTGATTGAAGATCTCACTTTTTTCGACTTTGACGACAAAATGCAAATGGTCGCCTGTAGCACTAATAATTTTCATTGAAGTCGCTACAAGTTGTATATTTTGGTAAGAGGCACATCAATACCCTTCGAGCTGTAAGTCGCTTACGTTGATTGGGAGATTTTTTCATGAGATATGGAAGAAACCCTACGAAAAGTACCAAAAAACACTTTTTTTAAAAAATCCATCCATTGTCCGATAATTTTAAAATAACGATAAAATGCGGGACAAATGCAGGACACTTGGAAAAAATCAGTACATTTTCAGGTTTTTCAGGTTTGAAAAACTACGCAGGACCGACATTTGAAAAACAGTACGGTCCTGCAAAAAACAGACAGCGGATGGTCACCGTAACTATACCACATTGTGTGTTGGATATAAAACGGGCTTGTATTGTTGTTGTAAATACATTGTTTTCGATATTGATCATGTTGCGTTGTTGGTGTTGCTGTTGCTGATGCTTTTTTTCTTTGTACTAGCTGCAACTTTTAGTTTCGCTTAAATTTTTATATTTTTTTTTATATTTTTTTGTTAGCGATTTCCTTCGTCACAACTCGCCACAAGGTTGAGTGGTGTGCTCCTCTTTTGTGGAAATGAGGCGCAAGAATTGCTGGCTGCAAGTTGGGGGCAAGTAAAAATGTGCAAACGGCATGCAAGCGTTGCATGTGTACTCCAACGTCACGCTAGCAAAAGAGACCATGACGTTCAATAGTTGGCGTGTACATAAGTACGCAGGCGCACAAGTTAAATAGTATGTATGTATGTATAATGTGGTTGGCTGACGTCGCATGCAATGAGCCAAGCCATGTAGCAAAATAAAAAACTGCCTGTTTGTAAGGCGGACGGATGGAAAGTCTGTTGGTCAGCCGCAGTCCAGTCAGAAGTTGCAACAATGCAAGCAAATTGCTGTTGCCAACGCCAACTTTGTGTTGGCGATGGTTTGCGTTGGCTGCTTGCAGTGATTGGCGTAACAGTTCTGTAGGGCAGACAGCAAAATACCACATGCGTCGCACCGTTGCGGCTAGTGGGCACTTAGACAGCGTGGGCAATTGTAACTTGTTGATAGAAAAGGTATTGGGTTTTATTTAATTTTTTTCCTTCTACTTTTCTTACCAAGACAGAAACCTAATGTAGTGAGAAACAGGCTAAATATTCTAAATTTTAAGGCTAGATTTCACTTCTGTTATAAGTTCCTAAATTTGTTGCCTAAAATATTAAGGCTAATGCAATGTTAGAATCTTAATTTTAATACAAGTCATACCTGAAAATTTGAAGATCTTGGCTTGTTCAATTTTATTAGCTATTTTTTCATCTTTCGCTTTTAATCTTCACTACATTGAAAAACATATCGAAAACATTTGTTGTCGGTTTCAACACCCATACTTTACCCCTCCAATTCTAATGGCTGTGTCAAAGTAAAAAGATACCTTATCTCTCACTAGATGGTATACCTAAGTACAATTACGTAGGATACACCAAAAAAGTGCACTGGGAATTGAAGAGTTGAGATTATTATGGAATCGAGCGAAATATGTAATACTTGAATGGTAAATACTTCAGACTGGGAGCGCATATGTATAAACTGGGGTTACGATCGAATGACCTTTGCCGGTTCTGCGACGTCTCCAGTGAAACGCCACTCCACATCCTCATTGAGTGTGATGCAGTCAGCAGAAGACGTGAGAGGAGGTTAAGCTCCATGTGGCCACAGTTAGAGCACATTCACTCCTTATCCGCCAAGAAGCATTGGGACTTCTTGGAGGGCACAGTAGATCATTAGGTCGCAGTGCATACCTCATAAATTATCTATCTATCTATCTCTACATACTTTGAACCCACCGGTCAGTTCAAAATCACAGAGGCTAGTTCTATCGTACAAAGCCTATCTTTTTAGTTGCTAACAGTTATACGAATCCTTCCAATAATTGATAGCCTGGTAGCACCCAATACTCTTCTATAATTCGAGGTTAAAATCTCTTTTTTTGGCATTGGATTTGATAGAGAGGCTTAACTCATTTGCTAAGCAATTTTACGTATCGTCGTTTAAAGTGCAAAGGTCAGACAGTTAGGCAGAGAAGCAACGGCCGCAATTCCAATCTAAGGTGCTCTGTGCGGAAGATCCGAATGCAAATTAGGGGAGGAGTTTAGATTACACGGAGTAAAAAGAAGCCATGACCCATAGGGCTTTTCAGGCATAGTGGTTACTGCGTCGCTATATCCTCTTCGGGTTCGAGTTTCTGAATTATAAATGGCATTTAGTTTTATAAAATTGAGGATTGTCCTCAAACCTGATTTGTCTTCCTCAAAAATATTGTCCTTCTCTGTCCACCTTTTGAGCAATTTTCAAAAAATTTCGTTCAGAACATTTTTCGGTCCTAGTATGGTTGTCGACAACGACGTCGATGTAATTTTTTCATCCAAAAATAGCCCACGTGAGTCCAACTCCAGCTACTCTGACCTCAGTTTTTTTGCGAAGAACACCTTTTACCAAAAATACTGTGGTCAGCGTAGCTGTACTTGGACATACGAGGGCTATTTTGGGATGACAAAACGGCATCGACGTCGGCAACCATAATAGGGTCGATTATTTCCTAATCGTACATAATCATTGTATTTAAAAGGAGTTTACATTGTTCAACTTTCAGTTAAATGATGTAAACTTTTCACTCAACTAACCACCTGAGAAAGTTGAACAGTGTAAACGCATTTTAGCCTTAATCAATAATATTTAATACGGCTTTCCCACGGCACCCCAATTACGTAGTTCGCTCTCTCATTCGTAATTCGCACTCCAATTACCCTTAGAATTACGTAATTCGCCTTACTAAATTTTGAGAGCGAATTACCTCATTTGTTGGTAATTCAGATCCAATTACCATGCGAATTACGAACGAATCGCTGTCGTCTCTAATTTTTATCGAAAATTTATCGAAACCTGTTCACAAATCGAAAGTTTTTCTGTGTACGAAAAGTAAAGTTTATACGTGTGTACATCACCATTTTAATACGGAACCTTATAAATTTTTAGCAATTACTTACATTTTGCATAAATTTTGTAGCGTAGAGAAAAAAAACACAGAGATAGAGAAGTTTGAAATCGAACTAAGAATGTGCTCTTGGGAAAGGGGTAATTCGCGTTCGTAATTGGAGGATCGAACAAAGTAATTCACGGTACCGTAGGAAATACTCATTACAAGACTGCAAGACCAGCTAACGACGAGTCTTCACATGCGAAAATTATTGCCTACCATATGTCATTTTGTTTGCCAGATATTTACAAGTTTTATCAGTGGCATTATATGTGTGTGGGGATAAAAGCTTTTGCAAGATGGCTTAACACAAGTATGTTCGTTGCATTGGAGCGGAAATATGCTTAAATTTTTTTAGAAAATGTGTTATTTCACATCCGAGTACATAATCAAAAATAACACAGGCTCAGCGGCGGATGCAGACTTTTTTTGGGATGTTTTCCGCGAAATTTTCCACTTATTCTTATTACT